ACACCGCAGAAGTGACACAGTATGTCTGACGACACTGTGTCACTTCCGAAAATGCAGCTCACGGGGCCCCGGCCCTAGGGCTTCTGATTCAGCCGCTTGGTGGTGGGACCCATGAGACCCATGCGTTTTCATTTCTAACACGTTTCCCAAGTAACAGACGCTGCTGTTGCTGATTTGGGGACCGTGCTCTGAGAGCCGCTTTCAGTCTCGGGGTCCCCAGGAGGCCTTGCCAACACAGTGGAGCCCGCCCTGGCGCCTGGCAGACACTCGAGTTAGATGGCAGCCCTCTTCCCATCCGTCCCACAAGACGGCATCCTGCTTCTAGAGTGGAAACTGAAGTCGACAATTAGCCCCGACTGGAGGAGAAGGCCTGTTCACATAGCGCCATGCCCGCCAGTGGCCACCCTGGAGTCACGAGGGACAACTGCAGTCACGAGATCGCACCGGTCAACAGGCCAAGGCGACTGCCTGGTGAGGGTGCCGCTTACGGTGGGAAAACCAGGCAGAAACGGCAAGGGCCGCGGGAAATGCTGGCCGCGTCACTGAGGGCTCCTGCGTGTTGTGTGGCGGGTCCTCCGTCTCTTCATGGTCCTTCCCAAGAACTTCCCAAGACGAGCCTGTGCACGTGCGGGCACCGCGAGTCGGACCGGAGTCTGCAGCCGCAGGAGCATGAGTCTTTGTAAGGCACGCCTGTCCCTCGCGAGCCAGCGCAGCCTGCTGGGCACTGAGGACCCTATGGGCAGGGGCTGTGACGCGCTTCATCTTCCCGAGCCGTCCCGGGGGCCTGGCGTGTAACGCGGAGCGAGCCCCCAAAGCAGGCCCCTTCCCACCCCAGTGGGGGTGGAGCCACAGCCTCGTCCTCACTAGGTGCTGTCCCTGCCTCAAACCAGGGCTGACGGGAGGCTGTGAAGTCAACAGTCCTGATTACAGCCATCAATAAGTAAAAACATGTCCCAGTGAACACCTGGAGCTAAGGCAGGAACGTTCCAGCTGAGACTATCAAAAGTAACGCCTTTTCTGACACACACACACACACACACACACACACACACACACACACACCCACCCCCCGATCTCTCCGCCAGCCCTCACGTTCTCCTGATACCCTCGGCTAAGAGCAGAGGGCCCCCGGCCACCTGGCAGGGTCGCCCCACGTGAAGCTCACCGCCTTCCATCCCACGTGACCCACAGGCTCCGAGGCCCAGGGAAGTCAGGACGCCAGGAAGCCGCAGTGACATGGAGGACCAACCGACTGAAAATGAGTGAAATTCGTCACTTCCTTGGCCCCGCTCCCCGACGGAGTCGCAGTCTGGGGTTTCACCGATTCTCATCCTTTAAGATTCCACAGCTGACTTGGTTTTTTCAGGGACAGGCAAGCTGACTCACTCATCGGATCCAGTCTGTGCCGAGCCCAGCGCTCTTCCCGGCACGGTCCCCTCCTCCACAGGTGCTGAGCTGCTGTTTCATTATTTCAGGTCCCCGACTCAGCAATGGAGTCTCTGATCAGCTCGTCTGGGCTCAGCCTTCACTTCATCAACGAAACCCTCAGGTCCCGGGAAGTGAGGCAGCTCACCTAAGGCCACCACTGCCAGCCGCTCGGTGCCCTGGCACGGGGGCGACCTCCCCACACGGTCTGGGCCCGACGTTGACCCACCATGGTGCACGATGCTCTAAGACCCTGCCCGGAACATCTCAGGTTCTCCGGGCTTCCCAGGGGACAGGAGCACGGGCGTGCTGGCTCCGAGGCCGGAACCTGGGTAGCGATTCACTCCGCCCTCACGGGGATGGCCTGGTGGTTTCAGGCACAGATGGCAGATCGCGAAATGACACAGTGGCCTCATTTAAACTGCAGAGTGCCCACTTGGTATCAACTATATAGAATTTTGAGTAAAAATAGTTAAGTGCCTAAGAGGCAGACCGAAATAAACTTTATGATAATCGGTCACCCACTGCTTCTGCCAGGATACAGTGAGGACAGGTTGCCTCCTCTGGGCATAACTGGGCCGTCTGGTAATCGGAATGTCTGTTTTCGTTAGACTGTAGTCGCATTGTGCTGCTATAAATTGTTAGGAGTGTCAAGTCTAACCTACTTGAGCGCTCACGTGACGTATCCAAGTGCCTGGGAACTCAGCACGCCCCACCAGAGGGACGCTGCAACCCAGCTCCTTCCGCAGATCCCCACTGGCAGCTGAGCCCAGGCCCCGGCCAGTGCCGTCCACTGCCGCCCGCACTGTAACCCTTTGGTTTGGCAGCCCCTGCAAACCACCTGGTGCAGACCAAGGTGAGGGGCGCTGCCCTCTCCCCAAGTCCCCAGGAGCCCTGGGACCACCACGGCCACGCTGCTCCAGGGCCCCGACTTCAATGGTCGCCTCGCCCAGCCTTCGCTTCGGTGGGAAGCTACGGAACTGAGCTTACCCGCCCCGGCTCACGCACCACCTGGAGCGGTCGGCATCTACCTACACTGACACTGGACTTTCCCGAGACCGTTTAGGATCTATCGTGGACTTACAAACAAGAATTCGTGATTCCGGGGACAGGGAAGGGGATAGTTTAATGGGAGGTTTTTGTTTAATATGGAAGGTTCCAGAGACCTGGCTCACAGCGTCAGCAGACCCGAGACACTTCAAAATGCCTGAGACGGTAAAGTGTGTGCAGTGAAGTGAACTTCAAGGAGCCAACCTTGGCCTGGTTTTGGTTACTTGTGACACCTGCCCTCTCTCTCAAATGGAACTGTTTTCAGCATGGCTTCTCCGGGCCTCAGTGTCCCTCTAGGTCACAGCGCTCTGCTGGGACCGGATGAAGGCTGGTGATTCCCATTCTCCACACCTCTGGTGCCCGTGTGTTCAGGCCGAACCACGAGAAAAGTGCCGATATTCGGCCACTCTGGGCCTGGGCCAACGTCACCTGATACACCCGTCACATCACTGGATCCAAACACGTCCCTCAAACGCCTCAAACTTGGCATAAGCTACAGGAACCTGTCTGAAAGGTCCCGCCTGTGGAGGAAGTGACGGACAACGCAGACAGCTATGCATCATGTCTCTGAAATTTTGAAAATGTGCCTCAACAGAATACTGTGAATATTTTATTTAGTCATTTTTGTTTACAACTGAAACTCTGGGAATTCAAAATTAACGTCCTTGCCTGTGAGCTTCTTATAGACACCAGAAAAGGTTTCAACCTACAAGAAAAAAAAATAAAAATAATTCAGCACCAAACTTTTCAAACACACCGATTCTGTTGAAATCGTGCCCCTGTGCTTCTCAGCAACGTGGTACTGGGAAGAAAAGGGACCTACAGGACGTGTCCTCCGAGCCCCAGCGCTGCGGGACTGGGCTCGGCACCGCGCACCTGCGCGCTCTACCCCGCCCTCTGGACCACAGGGACGGAGCCTGGGGAAGACCCCAGGGGCTGTCCGCACTGGTCAGTGTACCAGGTTTGAAGGCATGTGACAGCTCTCCCCAGATTCCACCCCAAAAGGACACACAGCCTTACTAAAGGTCAAACCATGGAATCACTTCCCTGTGTCCTAGTCACTGAAAATGCCCCCCAGTGGAAAACCTGGCACATAACCCATGGGAAGTGGGCCGAGGTTCGACGGCAGAGCCCCCGGCCCGGGGCACACGGAGCTCCACCGCACGCCACCCTCTCCCGAGACCGGCCCGGCCCTGGCCAGAGAAGCCGCCACCTTGTGCTCCACGTTGTTCTGCTGCGCCTTGTCCAGGTGAACCTTTATGAGCCGGCTGCCGTCCAGCTTCACACGGATCCTCTTGCCCACGATCTCACTCGGGAACACCAGGTCCTCCAGGATGGCATCGTGCACGGCCGTGAGGGTGCGGCTGGAGAACACGGCGACAAGCGTGAGACGCCCCAGCGTGAGGCCTCCAAGCGTGAACGGCAATGCCCAGGCTCCGGACACCCATCAACATGGGTTTCGAGGAGGCCGCTCACGCTCAACACAGCACGCCCGGGCCCTCGCCAAACCAGAACGGGGTGACAACCGCCTCGAAGCTGAGCGTGTCTCATGCGTGGCAGCGCGCAAACTGCTTGCGCCGAGCCGTCAGGAGTGCCCACCTCCAGGCGAGAGGTTGGCAGACTGATTTTTTCACCGTCTTTATGTTTGTTTTCACTTGTACGGCTTCTCTGTGAGAACACGGCCAGATCTCTGCACTGGTCTTATCCCAAAGCCACACCCCTCCGATGTCAAGTTCACCTAAAATGCTGCTGTCATCACAGGATTTACCGAAAGAGCCGCTGCGAGCTCTCCTTGGCCTCCGAAACACCATGACACCTCGCTCTTTACAACCACATGAGGAATTGGGCCACCCCGACAAAGACTGTTCTGTCACCAGCTCTAGGATAGTGGCCCCTACGAGGGTCCCCAACTGTCAAGCCATCCTCTAAGATTCCAATGGAATCTTCTGCCTGACTATCCCCTCACGTTCCCAATCTATCTGCCTGGCTGACCACAAGAAGGTTCAACTACACATAAACTTTTAGGGGACCTGCCGTGTGCCATAAGACACGGGGAGTGGGTGAACAAAGGCACAGCACGTACATCGTGTCTGCAGCGCTCCCTTGCTGGGGGTCTGTGGGGGTCTTACCCCTCCACAGCTCAGACGCCACACTCTACCCACTTGTTTCCTGCCTGGCAGTCCCCATACATACGACACACCCCGTCCAGTGCCTCTAAGGTCTTACTACTCCATGGCCACACAGCAGGCTCAAAGGAAACCCACTTCCCAAGGCTTTTGTCACCACCACTCAGAAAGCAAATGAGACACAAGGCCCAACCGATCACTGCTACCCATTCACTAAGCGTATTATTCCTACAGCTCTAGACAGCTCAGAAACACGGACGTCTCGGCATCTGACTTATGTAAGGGAAAGATGGAAAACGAGTCTGGGGGCAGGGAACCAGACTGGGACATGAAAGAGCCCCTATGGCCCACTAGCCAGGCGCCACCGTGAGGGGGACAGGAAGCCTGAAATGTCCAGACCAGGTCACTAGGGACACAGGAAGTCACTCCCTGAGAAAATGAGGACATAGGTTTGGAAAGAGGAAGAGTTAAGGCTGTAGGTCTGAGTCCCTTAGCCGGGGGCAAACCAGAGGGTCTGCTTTACGCCTAAGTGCCACCTCAGGCTCTCAGACCAAAGACTGCGAAATCGCTGTGCAAGCATCACGACTAACATCCCTTAGCCGGGGGCAAACCAGAGGGTCTGCTTTATGCCTAAAGTGCCACCTCAGACTCTCAGACCAAAGACTGCGAAACCGCTGTGCAAGCATCACGACCAACGCACTCATGTTCTCGATCACCTCCTGTATTCCTCTTGCAAACTATCTAGAACACCCCCCAAAATCCCGAATCCTTACGCTACTCCACCTGCCCACGAAATGAGCTCGACGTGCTGAACCATGCAACTCAGGTCCCAGAAAACCTGCTCCGGCCTCACCCACTTTCCCTCCTCCCTCCCCACAGCAGCACCTGCCCGTCCGTCCCCAGGGGTTTCAGAAACAAGACCAAGCGCTCGTGTGCCCCAGCGTCACTGTGACCAGCTGGAATGAGCCAGCTCTCTAGGCAGGGGTGTCACCTGCCTTCAGGTAGGAAACACCATCGCACACTCTACGGCTTCTGCCCACCTGGCAGTGACATGTAAACTGCAGCCCTTTTTCTCAAACGAGTCCTGAGGGCAGGGCCTGCAGGGGTCCGGAAATCCAAGTCTGGGAAACCAGCGCCCTGAAACACCGGAGGCCTGGACCAGGACGCAGCCATGGGAGTCCGAGCTGAGACCCGGTAACCTGCCAACCAGGCGAGTTCACAAACACTGTCCCTCGGCATCCACAACAGCAGTGAGACTTTTAACTGTGATGTCAGCAACAAAAATTCTAACTGAGCCTTAATTCACAGCAAAAATGAAAAGCGAAGACGGCACGCGGGGCCGCCGCCGGTGCCTCGCCCACGGCGGTCCGCCACGCGTTCCTTCTCATGGTTCCCATCTCTTGCCCAAAGAACTAAAGGAAAGTCATTCTTTTGTGAAAGAATTGACCAGTTAATTACATCACCTACGTGAACGCATGTAACCCGCACCTCTAGAATGGCTATTAAAACTTTTATGTATAATTATAGAAAAAACCAAAGTAACTCAATAAAAATCCCCATGCGAATTGCTTTCCTAATCTACCGATGTTTAACTGTTAGAAACCTACTTCAACTCTTATTAGAAACCCGTGAAAATCGAGAGCTGTTAATAAGAGTGGAACACATACATTTCTGACGCTGGTAAGATACTCACCTCCTGGGCCGCTTTTGCTTATTTTTTGTACGGCTTTTTCGAGTTGGCTTAGGCAGAATTCTCCTCTGTAAGGTAAAAACGATCATGCAACAACTACAAAATAAAGGCCCTTAAGTGTGGCGGAGAACTACGAACTGTCAAAGCGCTTTAAAAACAAAGACAGTGAGAGTAAATTCACACTTGGAGGAAGGCGAACCACCTAGACCAACCGAGTTACCGAGAAGTCCTGTGAAGCTTCCTGGTTCCTCAATAACTCGTTCAGAATCCAGTGTTCAAATTGTACCAGAAAACGTCAACGGCTTCATGCTGACCGGTCGCCCAAACATCACCCCCTCCACAGCTAACCAGACCCGCTGTGGGCACTGATGCTGAAGTTCCCAGGGAGCCAGACACTCCTGCTCGTCAGCTGCCACCTGACCCCCACAAACCTGCCTGCACCTCGGCCGGATCGGAACTTTAAAAGCACCATTGAC